CCCCCCCGCGCAACACAGACACAGAGACAGAGACAGACAGACACAGACAGCTCCCCCCTCTCTCTGTGTGTCCGTGGTGTCTGTCCTTCAGACGAAGCGCAAGCCCCGCCCGCCAGTGCCGTTTTCGTTGGATCTGTCTGCGTACGGCCCGCACGACTCGTTCCGCTACCTGTGCAAGAGCAGCACCTACATGCTCGATAATGTAGACGACGTGGAGATGTTCGAGGCGACGCTGTACGCCATGCAGGTCGGGAGTGACAGATAGACAGACAGATAGATAGACAGACAGAAGACAGAGAGGCGTTTGTGTGTGATCGGTTGACGTGGCAGACGATCGGCATCCCTTTGGAGGAGATCGAGTACATCTTCCGTGTGGTGGGCGCCGTCCTGTACCTCGGCAACATCATATTCGAACCGCCGCAGAACAACTCAGAGGCCTCAGAGGTCGGTGCACTGCACTGCCTGGTCCACATACCGTCTTTACACTCTCTGTGTGTGTATGTCACGTGTCTGTCTGTCTGTCTGTGTGTGTGTTGTGCAGATCTCTGGCACGAGTCAGCATTCCTTTGAGAGGGCCTGCGACCTGCTGGGCGTCCCGCGGGACCGACTGGCCGAGACGCTCTGCCTGCGGGTCATCCGCACACGATCAGAGTCATACATGTAAGCACACACACCCTCCCCCCTCCCAACCCAACCCACCACACCACACACTTGCCCATGTGGATGGTGGATGGTGGATGGTTTGCAGGAAGCCGCTGAACGTCAAGGAGGCCGAGGAGAACCGCGACGCGTTGGCACGTGCCCTCTACGGCACTCTGTTCCTCCGGATCGTGCAGCGCACCAACGAGTCCATCGGATACATCCCCAACGTCAAACTCATGTATGTATGTCTGAACGGCGTGGGGGTGGCAGACAGAGGAGAGAGAGGCGCATCGATGGATGGATGCCCGCGCGTGTGTGTGTGTGTGTGTTTAGCTGTGGCGTGTTGGACATTTTTGGATTTGAGTGTTTCAAGAACAACTCCTTCGAACAGATCTGCATTAACTTCACCAACGAGCGGTGCGTTACCGACTGCCTTGCCAGACCAGATGATCTATCTGCATATCCGTGTGTCCGTGTGTCTGTGTGTGTGCTGTGCAGGCTGCAGCAGTTTTTCAACACGTTTGTGTTCAAGTGTGAGGAGGAACTGTATCAGAAGGAGAAGATCCCGTGGGACCCGCTGGACTTCCCTGACAACCAGGACTGCGTCGACCTGCTCCAGGGCAAACCACACGTACCTATCACACACACACACACCTACACGGATGCATCAGGGACAAGTGTGTGTGTGGTGGTAGGGTCTCTTTTCGATGCTCGACGAGGAGTGTCTGGTGCCCCAGGGCTCCGACCAGGGCTTCTGCAACAAGATCTGCAAACAACACACCGGTAGGTACCACCCTCACACACACCTCTCCCCCGCCCCCACCGCCGCCTCCACCCTCTCCATCGCACGTGTCCATGTCTGCAGGCCACCGTCGATTCTCACCGTTCCGGACGGACCCGAAGCTGTTCACGGTCAACCACTTTGCGGGCCCGGTGCACTACGACAGCCGGGGGTTTCTGGACAAGAACAAGGACCAGCTGTCGCAGGACGTGCAGGAGGTCATCAAGGAGTCATCAGTCACGTGGATCGCCGACCTCTTCAAGTGAGGGAGGCAGAGAGAGAGAGAGAATCAATCAGAGAGGGAGGGAGGGGCGGTGGCAGGGCGAGTGGATGCTCTCTCTCTCTCTGTCTGTGTGTGTAGGGATCTGCTGAACCGTGGCGGCGGTGCTGAGGCAGCAGCGGCGGGGCAACCAAGGTGACTGACAGCGAATGGATTTGCCGCGCCATGGACGCACAGACACACACACACACACACACAGCCCATCTCCTCCCCCTTGGTGTGCATTGCAGGAAGTCAGCCAAGCGTCCCGCGACGGTGTCGTCCGAGTTCAAGGAGCAGCTCAACGCACTCATGACCACCATACAGGCCACTGAACCGCACTTCGTCAGGTGCCTCGCTCAACACACACACACTAATACCTCCACACGTAGCTAAGCTGTGTGGTGTGGTGTGTTGTGTTGTGTGGCGTGGCGTGGCGTGAAGGTGCATCAAGCCCAACCCCCAGAACCAGCCCGATCAGTTTGAGCGGAAAAGCGTCACTGAGCAGCTCAGGTCAGTTGTCAATCAGCATGCAAGCACACGATAAGAGAGAGGAGATACGATTTGCCAATGTACCGCACCCATACTTGTTTGTGTGTGTGTGTGTGTGCTGTGTGTGGACAGGTACGGTGGTGTGCTGCAGGCGGTGCAGGTCAGCCGTGCCGGCTACCCCGTGCGGGTCTCACACGCCGAGTGCTTCACCGACTACCGAATACTCGCAGATAGACCGGTACACGACACCCGCCCCACCAGACAGACAGACAGACAGACGACCCGCGTGTCCACGGTGTTTGGTCAGGTTATGAAGCCGTTGCTAAGCATCGAGGTGCGGACGGCGAGTGAGAAGCTGCTGGTCCACCTGACGGACAGCCTGCCGCTGCCCAAGACCAAACACGGCGGCAGGAGCTGGGCGGTCGGACAGACGCTCTGCTTCTTCAAGTACACACACACACACACACACAGAAATTATATCCCCCCCCACTGTGTGTGTGTGTCATGTGTCCACCAGGCAGGAGTCCTACGAGGTGCTGTCGTCCCGCCGGAAGAAGCTGCAGCGCGAGTGCGCCATCAAGCTGCAGGCCAAGTGGAAGGCCATCCGGGAGAAACACGCCTACACACAACTCAAGGCCTCGTCGCTCAAAATACAGGCACGCCCCCCGCCCCGAGCTCCAGCGGCTGCATTGCCATTGCATCGTTCCCTCTCTCTGTGTCTGTCTCCTCACAGGCGTTGATGCGTGGCCGGTTGGGGCGCAAGGATGCCCGCCGCCGGCGGGAGGAGAGGGCGGCCACCGTCCTGCAGAACTTCGCCAGAAGAAACAGAGACAGAATCAAATTCCTCAGGTACTGGACAGACTGGCACTTTTCCCACCCCCCCACAGCCGACACAATCTTTCTCTTTCTCTGTATTGTTTGTGTTGTGTGCACAGGATCCGTTCGCAGATCATTTTGATTCAGTGCGCCTACCGCGGCCACACCGGCCGGCTGTATGC